CAACAAAGTCCTCAAAATCTGTGATCGATCCAGAGGCGAGCTGCTGGAACCAATCGAGTACACCTCCTCTTAGGGTCGACAAAAATGTCCTACAACTAACATGATTAGTATAATCATGTAACATAGTCATATTCTCAAATGTCCTGACATGCCTCGACGGGTCAGAGGTCCCATCGATCACCAAACTCATATCCCTAAAATTTGCTGGCAACGGGGCGACCAGTATATCTCCCGAGAATGGATGTCCTTGAGAGCGTTTCTCTGTTCGACCATCCACCTTGGCCTGCAACTGACGCACCTGGTCAGCAAGCCTCTCCATCTCCCGATCTCGAGAGGACCTTTCTCCTCCATAGCTAGACACGTCCTCCTCCATGCTATGACGTGCGTCCGCCACCGTGGTCGGCATAGTAGCCGCTCGAGAAAGGCTATGGGTGACCTGCTGGACCGCTTGTGCAGCCGCATTCGCTACCATCTGCTGCATCTCTTGCCTAATCATCACCACCTGCTGACTGGGGTGCTGCTCCTCCACTCGCGGTGATGCTGCTCCTTGCACCCCCGCTCCCAATGGCTGGATCTCGGCCAGATCTGGCTGTAACGCGCTGGAATTGCCGTCCCCTGTGTTGCATGAGCTTCCTGAGCTCGGCTTGAGCCCACATCTGCTTCTGGAAGCACCGATGGGGCCCCTAAACATTGAGGAGCAGGTGTTGGGGTCACCGGTGCATGCAAAGGTCTGGAGACGCCCAGAGGAGGGCCTTCTCCAAACGGCCTTGTCGTCGTCCAAGCTTCATCGAACGACGGCTGCAAATTAATTATGGGAGTTCCGTCCGCCATAGCCACCAAGCTCAAGTAACCTCAGCACACCACTTTTCGAACGAAAGTCCCACAGACGACGCCAAATGGTAATGCCAAACACTCCGACCGGCTGGAAATCAGCTTGCCTTCTTCTTCCTCGCCTGTAAAATGCCGCGTACCTGCAAAGAACTCTCACTTCGGAGGGGTTTTCCGGTTAAGAGCCTCTGATGCTTAAGTCAGTGTTTGTTCTACTCAATTCTCAAGAGTAAAAATGGATTAATCGTCCCGAACAAGAAAGGCTCACCTCCATATATATTGGGGCGAGATACCTGCCCTAAGAGCTGCCCGGATTTGATGAGCTGTCTGCCCAAGGCTGCCCGGATCTACCCCTCCGTACACACAGTGTGCGTGTGTCAGAGGTGGTTATCGCCACTATCACTGCACGCCAATGTATCTGTGCCACGTGTACTCTGCGCATGGGGTAATTATTCACTTAAATATTCCTTAGAAATTCCCTCGCAGACTCACGCGCTCCCTCATGTCTGGGTCACGCTCCCTATTGCTCTTCACTCGCGAGGTGGTCGATCCAATGATCTCTCACTCAATAGGTCGATCTTCGACCAAACCTGCCATAGTATTCGACCACTGCCTTTCGGCCTGCTATTGCTCGACCAGCGTGGTATTTCCGACATTAGGCTCGTATGACCGGCGTAGTGAATCGGTTTATTCCTTCAGGTATGTAATATCTCATATCAGACTCCATCATGACCATTAATTTGTAAAATCTAAAGGCCTACATTTATTCTTATTTCTTTCACTATGACTCATTCTCATTTGAACATACTTCTATATATATGAAATATATATGAGAAATTATTTTGTAGTCTAAATTTGGTTTCCAAATTTAAAAGTTAAATAAGTAATTATTCATAACTTTACAGTTCAATATTAACTTGGACATAAATGGAATAGCTAATTATTTATAATTTAATTAATTACGCAACTACTTAATTTTTTTTAATTTTGATAGTTTATACAAAAAAAATTCATTTTAATTAACGAAACAATATTAGTTTTAAAATTATAATTCTTATATACATAGATTTTTATATATATATGAAAATTTTACCAAAATTATTATTTTATAGAATCACATTGTAGTTAAATCAAATTTGAATAAAAATCTTAAAATGACACTTATTTTGAAATGAATATAATTTAAGTTATTATTACTTAGGTGCACTAATTCTAATATACATGGTTTATGTAATTTGATACAATTTAAATTTCATATAATATTTTCAATAAATTAATTTAAATAAATTGTATTTCATATTAATTCCATATTTTTTATTTATAAATATTAATAAATATCACTTACCCAATTCCACGATCGAACTAGTAGATAACGTTTTTTTGTTACATTTTGAACTTCTCTAAATTTCTCCTTTTCTCTCTCCTCAGCGAAAAATCCCCTTTTCTCTCGTGACCTAGCCCTCGTCGCAGGCGATTAGTGCCTCTTCCAGCGGACAACCGGCTGCCGGTGGACAGCTCTCCGGCGCGCGCCCACGCTATTGTTCGTTGTATATTCCCCTTGTCTCACGCGCCTAGGGTTGAGGATGGTGGCTTACGGCGTATTTCTTCGATTTGTGCTTGTAGGTCACCGGAGACCTTGGGTGGCGAGGCTTGGTGGAGTGTGGCGATAGTGGATGGATGCGGCCCAGGTTTCTTGCTTGGTCATTTATCGGGTGTTTCCTCTCTTCTTCCTCTATGGGCGGCCTTGCTCTTTTCTGGTTTTGCCGATTTGCAGGGGTCGGTTTGGGTTCCCTGCTCGTGGGCTCTCTGCGGTGGAAGTTGATGGGCGGGGTTTCGTTTTCGGAGGCTGGGAGGGGTGCTCGGTGGTGATGACTGTGGTGGGATGATCGGGGCATTGATGTCGATTTGTGGTCCCTTCTCTCCTGTTCTCTGGTGCTGAGTCCGGGGGAGGACCGATGTTACCGGAACTAGGCTAGTGGTGTTAGCCTTTTTTCGGGACGATGGTTGGTGTGGGAAGAGTCGACATCTTTTGGCGGTAGAGCGGGTCGGTTCTTGGATTGACTTGAGGTGTGAGTCTTCGTCTTTGCTAGGTGTTCGGCAGCAGTGGCGGGCGTGGTTCTCGTGTCTCGAATCTCTTCGAGGAGTCGTCTATTGTCCTCTTGTTCAGTTCGGGTGTTTTTGCCGGGGGAGGGTTTGTTTTATTAGATGTAGTTAATTTGTTTTGTGTTTATGCTATTTTTATTATGTTGTCTCTGTCTTGTGTTTTTTGTTTGGGTCGTTGGCCCCTGTGAGCCCGAGCGTCAACCTTATTATCCTGTTGGGATCCGACACTCGAGTATTACTCCGTTGGGGTCTTTTTAGTTGTTTTAGTGGTTTGTATTGTTAGTTAGTTTAGTTGCGAGTATTTTATTCTAGTGTTGCTAGCGGGACTTTAGGCGGTCTTCTGACCTGTCCTCACACTTTTTCAGTTGTTGGCTGTTGTAATTTCGCACATTTGTGCATTTTAATTTATAATATTATCTATCGTTTTG